TTTCGCCCCTACCGAAAASCAATGGTTTCSTTTGCGGRTRTACGGAAGGAGCTTGAAATGCCGTCCTACAGTTTTCTGCGTCTAGTTGAGTAGWTGAATTGGAACCTCGGTCAGTTTCCAAGGCGTTCAAATCTACTCAACAGACTTAACATGGATGCAAGACAGTTTTGGACAATTTTGTGTTATTGTAACAATAACGCTTTAGATCTGGACGATCTGCGTAGATTGGATGTTGGCACTATTCTGTATTGCTCTTATTTTTAGAATTCAGAAATTCTTTATGTTCGTAAATCCAACTTTATTTCATAGTAATTCTTTACTAAATTATATTTAAGCACCGTCTTGGCTGTCGACCCTAACCCAGCCTGATAATATGACTAATATAAAAAAATGTATGCCGCAACCTGTATAAAAACATACCGTTATATGAGGCCGCCAGACGCAGCATTCGCACATATGAGATGAAAGCCGATTTGGCGCGATTACGATCCGCCAAGACCGAACGCCATTCACGCCAAAAGTATTCCAAGTCAACCAAACTCTTCGTACGCATGGCATGATTCATAATCGCCGGAACCATAGCGATCTGGAAAAGCAACAAAAATTAATTATGCATYTCAGTTTCGTGCCTCTCTGCGCCTTTTTCGCTACTTTACCGTTTGCTGACAGTCACCCAGCGAGCAGACCATGCGTGAGGTTATAAACGTTTGCATCGTATGCAACAAATCCTTGGCTTCCTCGTAATCCTTATCCGGCAGACCGTAAAGTTGCAATTTTGCGAGACGTCTCACCCGTCGCCGCAATACTGGATCTTTCAGCTGCATAACCGGCACGGTGCTGAGGTTCATCGCCAATGCATAGACCAGGTGGCGATAGTCATTTTCGATTTCTTGCTTAATCGGCGCTTGATTGATGGCGTTGTAACCGCGTCCTTTGGTGGTGAGATTGAGGAAACTGCTGCGCCGTCGCGCCCAAATGCCTTGCATACGTGTCGAGGCCCAGTCTAAATACTGATTGGCATGTGCCTCATAGACGGCGGCATGTGGATATTTCGTTGCATTCGTGGTGGCGTTAGTGGCTGCCACARCCSGTGTTGGAGMTTGTGCAGCAAGTGCTGCACCTGAAAGACAGARTAGCAAGAGGAGCGAGGCGAGTAGTCGGCAGCGTGTGAWAGTGACATTTGCCAGCTGGAAGATTAGTTGCAAAATTGAGTTGATACAGCAGTGTTAGATTCKTTTGTTTGTTTTTTATTTACAGTTATTTCACTTTTCACTTTCTTAGCTTTGCTTACCAACGCTTGCTGGTGTGGGGTTAAGTGTCTATCAATCATTTTGCTCGCTCGCATTGACAGCGACGCAGAGAGAGAGGAAGAGCGTGTAGAGAAATGAAACTGCAAGAAAGTTGAGCGGGAAAGGAAATTACAAAATTAATATACTTATCGCTAAAATATGCTAGAAAAAATAAAAATTGTAGAAAGACGAAATAAAAATTAAGCGCGGTCAGTTGTGAGTAGCTGATTGCGCGTCCACACCAGAGGCGTCTCAATGAAATTGGTGATAAGAAACAACAAACAAAAAATTTGACCGCAAAGTATTAGACTTCCAGTAGCYGGACTTAAATGTTGTATTAACAGAATTGTAACTGTATAAGTAAAAATTGCAAAATGCGCGCTTTCGAATTATATTTATATGCACTGATGTGGTAAGGAGGAGAAAGAGTGTGGGTTCTTTTGCCGTCTCAATAATACTTCAAGAAACATGATCCTCTGAAATATTATTTTTCTCTTGTAATATTTTGATTTCAAATATT